GCATACAAATATTGTGTACACAATGCACTGTAATTCAGTGAAAGTTCTCCTTCCCCTAAATCAGTGTGTATATGTTCCCTCTTGCCCTTCATGCTGCTTAACACTGTTCCTCCCCCATCTTCAGCAACACTCACACAAAGGCATCATTCACTGCTCTGCTTACGTAACTCCACGCGAAAGCAACTGCATTTATTCTCAGAGGTAAACACAACATTCTCTGAGGTTATGAATCTTAGTGTAAACAGTCTCAGTCTGAACCAGAGTACCAGTTGTGCATCATATAACCTGCAGAAGTAAACCATTTGGTTCAAAGAAACTGACGTCTGACCTCAGGGCAAGTGCTGCTGTCAGCGTCCTACCTTTGTGCGTCATTGTGCTGCATCACGGCATTGTTAAACACTGCACTTTACCCAGAATTCTTTAGAGATTACTCTTAATGGCTGGCAGAGGGAGACATCTGTCATCTGGCCAGACAGGTCTTATCTAAGAACTATTTGAGTCCTTCGTCTTTTGTTCTTTTTTTCTTTTTTTTTGGTCTACAATTGGCTCAGTACAGAAATTTGCGCATCAGGGTCTAAGCAGAGGTATACGTACGTTTCCTTGCCAGAGAGTCGGAGTGCTGCAGGTATTTACAAAAAAACTAAGCATTTCTTGCTGCTCACCATTTTCAATTAAAGGATTTGGATACTGGTGCTCTTTCATGTTAATGACATTAAGCCGGAGATCTGAAACCATTCAGCTGCACACAATTTCAAGATCATTTGTGATTTATTAATTTCACATCTGGAAGAGTGGTGTGCGCACGTTTTTTTTGTGTGCATACGTGCACACAGGTACGCACATTTGAGAAATGATCATAAGAAGGTCCCAGGTCTGTTTTAATAAGGTCAAGTGAGGTCAAGGATAGCAGGGGGACAAACAAGGCTAAATGCAAGTAAAAAAGGGAAATGACCATGTAACTTTTTTTTTATTATTATTATAGTATTTCAAATCTAGAGTGCTGGCTGACTTTACTGACCTGTGCAGATTTTTTTTGTTGATTTTTTTATTGCGTAATATTCATTTTAAAAATACTTTACAATAAACATTAATGTCTTTCGAAGTGTCCTTTATTTATAGTAAGTAAACTATTAGTTTACGAAACATTGACTAACAAAATGATTTTAGTTTTATCTTAAGTGAAAATGTTACTTAGCCTATTAGTTTGTTTATGGTGAAAGTAAGTTGTAAAAAGCCAAATAAATTATTATATGGACAGACATCAAATAACATGATGGCTTGTTGTTTAGACATAATCTTTTTACTTTATATTAATGTTGACCTTGTCTATTTTTGATTAATAAAATGTATGGTCTGAACTATAAATATAATTTGAGAAAAAAAATACGGATGTGTATATGTATATCTATTTATTGATTTAAAATCAAGAGTAGTGTCCAATCAACGCTAGCTAAACTAAGCAGATGCCAACATGATTTTCATTCTGTATGTTATGTTTTTATGTACAGTTTGCATATCGTTGGGCCTATACAAAAATAAATCAGTTTTGACATTAAAGACATGTTTGTTTGGGTTGCCAATTGATGCCCAATGTAAAATCTGGATCCCGAAGCAAAACCAGTTAAAAACTAATGTATTAAACACATTTTTATAGAGAAGGACAAATGTCATATATCATAGACCATCACAACAACTTTGGACCACAATGTTGTGACAAAAACAACTAACACAGACCAAATTTGCCCACACATTAATTCAGAACGAGATTTTGCTTTTATTTTCTTAAATAATGCCAAGCAGACCTGGCATTCGCTAAAAGAAAAGCGATTAAATAAGGACTGAAAAGTGAAAGTCTGTTAGCAACACAGAGGGGTTATTGGTCCATCTGCACAAGAGCCTCATTTCATGACACAACACTGATGTCTGTTTCTTGGCTCAGTGAGTCATCCCATTTTAGCTGTGTTGGCACAGTGCTGTGCTCTCGCTGTGTGGCTCTCTGTGTTAAGGCCACATATGTCAAACTGAAACTCTTCCTCATGTTTCAGATTCAGAATCACTGGACCATTGTGCAGCTGTCATTAACACAAGCAAATGAAGCGTACATTTGCATGCATTTGTAGAATGACTGGACAAACAGTGACAGTCAGTGTGTGCACATACAGAAGGCACAGATTTCTCCTGGCCACCTGCTCTAGTATTGGCAAAGCAGGAATATTGGTTTCATGTCTTTATTTTACATTAACAATTAAGTTTTTTTTTTTTAATCTCTAGTTCTCCAGTCAAATCAGCATAATTTAGAACTAAACACACTTGCGATTACTCAACTGTACAGCATATGAAAATTAAAGCATAATGAACTAAATCAAACTTACAGTGCAAAGTCATTTTAACAATGGTCCAGGACAATGAAATGTGAAATTATCTCAGAGTAACAGGTTTATAGCAGAATTTAAATACATTACTAATATTTTATCCTCCAGTGCTCCAGTTGATGGCAGTAATGCACCAAAAACCTGGGCCGCCATTGAATTGTCTCCAAAAATAATGCCACAGTGCATAAAATCTTAAAATCAACATGAAACGGAAGTTTCCGGCTTCTCGAACAAGAATAAATGAAGAGTAGGACTTGATTTTGTCCATCAGGAATTGATTGGATCATTGTGGTTTGGTATTGCTGTGATCTCATATGAGTGACAGGTTGTCCCGCCCTGAGCGCCCTCGCGCCAGTAAACACATCATCAGAGAAGAGATTTCATCGCAAGAGGGAGAGGGAAAGTTATTTTGATTAAACATAGTAGGGAACTTGAATTGAAACAATAAGTAATAGTAATAATAATGATAATAATGTGCATGGATAAATCATTTATGATAAATACGGCAATATTTAGTAAAAACCTTAAGCCTATAGTCTTTATTTTCTTTATGAAATTTTTTTTTTATAAATAATAATAATGATAATATATATACACCATTTTTTATAGAGAGATTTGGGGTGACGTGTGACTTGGACATCTTAGCCAACTTCGTGAGACTGTAGGTATTGATATCTCCTCTTGCCTTTGGGCTCTTGAGCATGACACTAAACCCCAAGTAGGCTATCTCCCACAGGGTCTACAGCATTTTTATTCCAGTTAGTGTATAATAATAAGCTTTTGTATAAAAAAAAATGGTAAGTGCTAAATTACAAATAACTACCACGCAGTTTCTGAAATTCTGGTCTTATTTAACAAGTACAGGTGGTTTACTGTGCTGTGAGACGTCAGCATGATTAACAGTATTATGCTGACCTCTAGTGTAAGAGCTGGAAACGGCAGGATTTTCCATCATACTATTTTCCTTTTTTTATGTTTGTAATGTTGTCTCCAGGAGGTACTGTTCTTTTTACAAAACATTTAATCGTTTTAAATCGACATCGCTGGACACTGCATCAAATGAGATATTTTTTTGAATATTTAGCCTACAGTAGTCTATTGAAGAAATCTTAGCCTAAACTACTCTGCATTTCTTCAAAAGAAATTACGTAGGCTATAATACTATAAGATATTAATGCTAGGCTACTCAACTGTAACCTCGTGAAATCATCCAAAAGCTGACCACGGAATAAACTAAAGCAGACAATATGATTAATTGAATTGTCATTGCAGACTCAGCTGAACAGAGGGCAGCTGATAATATTTAATATGATCTGATATTATATGGACTGCATGGGGCCAGATCATCATTTTATAAAAAATCCCTATGTGTAAGCAAAAACCGGCAATTTACTATAATTGTTAGGTTTGTTAATTATAAGTAACTAAAAGTCAAATTAATATGAGCCAGTTTAATAAATTATTTATGAAACCTTATAAAATCTTCTTTAAATCTCTGATAAAAATAACATTTATTTATGATAAAATATTTAAAAAGAATCGCTAGTTCTCCAGTCAAATCAGCATAATTAACGAAAGACTTGCGAGAAGATCAACTTTTGCTCAACTGTACAGCATATGGAAATGAAAGCATAATGAACTTCAGAAAAAAATAAAAAGTCAAACTTACAGTGCAAAAAGTTGTTTTAACAATGGTCGAGCTAACAGGTTTATATAACAGAATTTAAATACATTACTAATATTTTATCCTTTCTTCTGTGCTCCAGTTGGTGGCAGTAACGTACCAAAAACCTGCCAATGAGCCGCCATTAAACCTCAGAAGAAGTAGAGGCGACCAACTGACATGATTTCCGAATCTTCTTTCTTTAACTCGAGGACCATCGTGCGAGCAGTAGCTTTTTTGTCGTCTCTTATAAGGTGAGGTTTGGGTATCAGAACAGCATATATATATATATATATATATATATATATATATAACAATAGATTATTTACTGTTCATCTCAATATATATTTTTTAATCTGTAAAATAATGCAGTAGGCGTACGTAATTGTAAAGACTGGTTTTATGCATGCATGTAATAAGTTAACTATTCTTGTCTGCTAGTAACTAACATTATAGATTGTAGTAGCATTTTTTTTTCTCAGGGTGATTTAAAATTTTGCATCGTTTTCACAGTTAAAACACGTGTTCACAAGGGTCCACGTGTGGATACGCGTTCAGATTTGTTTATTAGTTAAATCTATTTCAACATTTGTGTAAAATTCTCTGCATTTAGGTATACATTTTTTTAAACCGATTTTAGCAATTTAGGTTGGTAATTAATGTCAAGCATAAAGCGCTTAGATGTATATGTGGTGCGTTGTAGTGCAGGCTGATCAGCGAGGTTGAGTCTGAAGTGACTCTTTCCTTTCCTGTATGTCTGCTAGATGGACATGGGGTGGTTTGAGGCCGTGTTGTTTACCCCCTATAGCATGGTTATAGAAACCCCAGACAAACTTTTACAACATGTGCTCGAGGGTCTCAATATCTGCATGTCAAGTTTGCTTGTGAACTGTACTGAAATGGTCTTTCTTTTGCAGCATAAAGCCATTTCCCTGAAGTCTTCATAGAACGTTCATTTTGCCACCATATGTATTGGCCATGAGTTTGGTGCCATCTAAGAGATGTTTCTATCACAGCTGCTGCAAGAAGGAAGTAAGTCTGGTCAGCACACAATTCATACATAGTTAAATGCAACCGTTTTAGTTGAACTCAGTATGTTCTCTGTAAAAGAGAAGAGTCATTGCAGGCTCTCCAGCGAGGTTGAGTCATTGTGACTCTTGCCTTTCCTGTGATGTCTGCTAGAGAAATTTGAGGTGGTTTGAGGCCTGCTGTGTTGCCCTTCCCAGCATGGTTATATAATCTTCAAACATTTAAATTAGTTGTCTATAATCTTATGGTGAGAAATAATCTTGCTTCAATCATGTAAATATTCGTATTTATTTTACAGGGAGAAGCCGCTACTTTGCTGAGGTGTTGATCACGAAATGTTCATTTTGAGTAAGGCAAGATCTAATGAAAGTAGTGAATATTGCATACTGGATTGCCACTTAGCATTTTTAATTTGTTGGTTCAAATATTGAGGAATGTTATATTCAAGGATTTGATATATGAAAACTGTTTTGGATTAAATATTCAGCTAAATAAAGAGGATTTTCTTTTAAAGAAAGCAACCATTGTTTCTGTGTTTTTGTGTTTGGTAGAATGAAAAGAATAGTCAGATCTTGTTTGGCATGTATAACTGTTCGACTATATTATTCCAGCTTATTACGTGGCTATTTGCCACAAGTAAATAATTGGAAATTAAATTAATTGGTGTTGTGATTAACTTGCTTGTGATTAACTTGCTTGTAATCAACTCAAAGCTTCTGCAAATTAAAGCAGTTCTTAGCAAATTACTTGATGTGTTTGGGGAATTTGGCTATTAACATGTAAAGCTGTTGATGTGAACTGGTGTTATTGAATATATAAAAGTAAAATTAATAAAATAATAATAAAAATAACAGTAATGCTATTTTTTTTGTTTTTTTTTACGGTAGGCCTTTACTTAAAACTATGACAGTTAGTGGTATAAAATACAGAAGCTTGCTGACTATATTTTGCCAGTAAGTTACTGTTACATAATTTTTTTTGCAGTGTTGGGTAGAGACTTAAAGAGCATATTGCAGGTAAAAAAAAAAAATGTTAATATATAACCTTGTATGAAAATACCAGATGAAAACAGCGGGGCATTAAAAGTCCTTAAATGGATTTTGTGAAAATTAAGGTCTTAAATGGCATTAAATTTGATTCCTACAGGCATCAAAAATGTTGATAGTTTTGAAGAGAATTTTATATCAATTTATTTGAATATAGCCATCATAATAAATTTTTATTTGCTGTCGCAAATATGTACGTTAGTGTGATAAACACGCGGAACCAGTTTGGTAATTGCTTCCGGCCGGAGCAAAATTGCCGTGACACGGGCATTGTGTACAGCGGTGGACAGGCCTGAACCATGGTCTGTGAACCTTGGAAAAATGGGAGTGCAAATTCCAGCCAAAGTGGCTGAAAAAATAAACTTAAGACATGGTTGCAGCCCGTTAGTGGTAAAATGAAGGATTTCGTGACGTTTGTAAAAAAGCATTTAAGTTGGGGACAATGGGAATCAGCGCCGTAAAATCCCATATGCAGTGTAACGGCCACAAATCGGCGTTAAGAATCTATGTAAATAGTACACTGTGTTTAATTTGTCGTTTAATGAGATCTAATGTTAGTAGCAAGGATTTTCACGTGAATAAATACATAGGTCTGACCGTTACATCCATGTCCAGTGGCAGAACTTTTGCCAAGCATGTCAGATTCTGGGTTCTAATCCGCACTAAGTTTTGTTTTTTTCTCATCAAAACCGATTGTTTATCAGTGGTTGTATATCAAGCAGGGACACGTTTGTGTGCGTGTTTTGTGATTTCACCATAACTAATAGTCTCTCCGCAACGGATTGAAGCGCGCGTCCGTGTGAAGACTGTGCGCGAGCCACAACAGAACACTATATCTGCGCCACTGATAGCAGCGGCAAACAACACATTTCAGATCGCCTCTTATTTAAAGCAGCACTAAGTAGGAATTCCGTTTTTGTCAAACCGCGACCCCTAGAGTCGCTGTGGAGTACTTGTACTGTCGTGAATAGCACTCACGCAGAGATGGCTCGCACTCACGGCCGGATCCCCTCCCCCTGTACACCGGTACTTGTTCAGTAGGATGGACGCTGTAACGAGTGGAAATAAGGTATGGCTCCTTTAAGAGCTGCGCGCGCTCAACACCACATGTATACGGCGCAGGGTTATTTCTGTTTGATGCTCATTTTATCAGATCTATTTTTTGCCGTAAAGCAATTCGTTACCTCGCGAGACCTGATATCACACGATACTTCCTAACACTGAGGTCGGCGGCTCGCCGGCCCAAAGTTGCAAGGGTGGTTTTGCGGCTCACAGGCACCAGGAGGGTGCGAGATGACCACCATTCAACACGAAATCAGTAATATAAACATTACAATGACTCCAAAGCTGTTCAGTTAAGGTAAAAAAGTTACTTAGTTCACCTTTAACGCACGAACGAAATGAATGCTCTGCTAGAGTTAACGAGATGTTTTATTCATTTGTATTGGTACATACGGCACGCGTAATGGACACAATCAACACGTCCCACCTGCAAATTACGCCTATGTGTCACAGAAAAAAAAAATATATATATAAATATATCCGTGGTTAGTCATGTATGGCATTAAAAAAAATGCCATTAAAAAGGCATTAAATTCAATTTGAAGATACCTGCGGAAACCCTGCAAAAGTTAATGCAGGATTTAAAATGTTTTTAAAACGACATAAGGGCACCAATTTAGTAGATAAAGTGAGCGTTTTTTTGACTGCTCGTAAAACAACGCTTTTTTTTTTTTCAACATCGTGTCATTTTACGTCACGAAAGGGAGCCTCAGCTCAGTGCAGAGTAGGTTGGTATTCAGTAAGAGCGGTCGTGAGTCAGTGTGTTTTCGGTAGTTTTTGTATTTTAATTTATCGTCATGGTAAATTGTGTTTGTGGAGGTTGCAAAAACTCCAGCCTGGCGTGTCCAGACGTCTCTTCAGAGAAAGTGATACCTGAAGGCGCACCTGTTTCACGTCTATTTACAGCCTCTCACAGGCACGCATTCCAATGGCGTCCTCGTCAGAGGTTATTTAAAGTCAAGTTCCTTGGTGTGTTTGCCACACATACTTCACAACCGGTCAAACAAAGATGTTGTCCCATAGCGCTATGAGCGCAGCATCTCGTTCCCACTTTTTCAGGGAACAGGGTTAGTCAAGTAACCCGAGACAGTTTCCATCCAGTGTTATCCCAAAATTCGCGTAAAAATAGATGGATGGCAACATTGCTAGTGACTGAACCCAAATGCGACCGGATACAGTACACACACACAGCAATTGTTTTTGTGCCCTAAAAAAAATGTTTTTTGTCACTTTAAATCTTTCACTTTATTTTAAACTGATTAGCCTATGCGTTCTTCAATAGAGTCCTTGCACAAATTAGATAGTATGGATCTTTTTCAGCAAATTACCACGGATTGTTACATCTAGCGTTACAACACACCCCAGTAGTGGGGTAGGTTGTTACAATGGAACTCTGTATTTGACATTAACTCTTATCGGTGATTGTGAAGTACACACGTCCAATTGAGTTTTATTTGAAGGAAACAACAGTGGCTACTGTGTATGAAAGTTTGAGAGATCCAGCACAAACAACCACTGAGTTACTGATGCTCAAACAAAAAGTTTTACTTCCATACCTAGTCTCCCCCATTACTGTCTTTGAGGTATTAGTCCACAACTTCACACCAGGACCCAGTTGTTCTGAATCAGAATTTTCTATATCTGGAAATCCCATGTTTTGATATCCAGGATATGGTAATCCATCTTACTTTTGTGCTAGTGCCTTTAGAGTTTCCATAGCCCCTCAAGTGACCCACAACAAAAACAAGCAAATATAAATGCAATAAGGGATGCAATTGTTACAAACTACTTTTGTCTGGTTCATCTCTGACGATTGTGCCAATGTAGTTTATATGCAGTGATTAAAAAAAACGCATAAAATTAGATATTATTTTTGTTTGATAATGACAGCTGTTTGGGGAATTATTTTAATGGTGGCAAAATCTCTCCCTCACACTTTTTTTAATTTTTTTTTTTTTTTTTTTACTTGTACTGAAAGGCTTAATAGGTAGCCTATGACTACTTCTAATGTATTACTTTAAGGTTAAACTAACCAAGAGCAAAATAAATGTGTGTATTCACACGATCCCACAGGACACACTCTAGATTTACTTATCAGTAAGGGTGTTAACATTTCATCGATTGTTATTAAGGATGTAGCACTGTCTGATCATTTCTGTATTTTCTTTGATAAATCGATCTCTTCTGCCATTGAAGCTAGATCTGTGTCTGTCAAGAAGAGATGCTTAAATGAGAACACTACTGTACTATTTATGAAGGCTATATCCTTAACACCAAGCATTTCTGCTGTTGATTTTCTCCTTGATTCTTTTAACTCAAAAGTTAAGTGTAATTGATGATATTGCTCCGGTAAAAGTCAGGAAGAAAAGAGTGGCAGACAAAAAGCACCTTGGAGAAACTCAGCAGGAGTGCAAAATATGAGAAGACAATGCAGAAAAGCAGAGTGCATGTGGCGGAAGACAAAACTTGTAGTCTATTATAATGCACTAATCGGTTATTGGGGAAGTTAACAGATAATATTGAATGGGCACAAATGCAATTTAAGCCCTCTAAATCAAGGAGCATCTCGATAGTTAAAGGAAAGGTAGTAGATAAAACATTCTTCATTAATGGTGAGGCAATACCAACAGTTTCTGAGAAGCCAGTGAAGAGTCTTGGGAGATGGTACGATGGGGATCTAAAGGACACAGTTCAAGTGGGAGAAGTTAGACGACAAACAGTGGAAGGGTTGAAGAGCATAAACAGCTGTGCTCTACCAGGCAAACTAAAACTCTGGTGCTTTCAGTCATAGACATAATAAATACATAGACGCCCTATTGGCCGCTGGAGCGTACGTCAACGGCGCCGCCATGTTGGGGATGGCAACTTTCCCATACCTCTCATACCGGGAATTAAGAAAAATGCCTGTTTTGTGCGCTGTTTGGGGCTGTACACATCGCCACACAATTGAAAACAGCTTTCGAGGAATTACCTTTCACAAGCAAGACTGAACGTTTGTTTTTGGTTGTATTTGGTCATTATTTAATTAGTAGGCTAATAGTAACGTTCAGAGGTTACATTTAAAAATACTACTGTTATTGTGTCACGAAATGTAGTTTTAATAGTTTTGCAGTCGACAATGTAGTTGTTTAAAGCTCAAATCTGTGGTTGGTTTATAAAGATAGCGCCTATTTAAAAATTTGATCTGACGTTTTCGGAGTTGTAAGATGCTATCACCGGGGCTCAGCGCTCGTCTACCCCCCCTGGAACAGCCGTACCTCGGCCTTCTGAAGTTTTGCCGCTGACTCGGATGTCTGTAGTCTAGTGGTTAAACATGAGATATAATTCGTCTTGTGTAGGCTATATCTAACGGGCGATCTTTGGTCTCATTAATCTATAAATGGTTCCCTAGTAAATCGTTTTGGCTGAGGGCAAAGTGAAGTTACATAACTTTATATTTAGGCTATTTTAACGTTGTATCCTGCTGTATGTTTGACTGAAGCTACTTCTGTTATAATGGCTATTATTGATCAATAAAACTGAAATTTGAAGAAATTGATGCCAAAATTTTGGAAGAAACCGTACAGCACCTTAAAACATCAACCTGCGCCCTTGACACACTTTCCACATCTTTTTTCAAAAGTGTGTTAAACTGTTTAGAAGCAGATTTCCTAGAAGTGGTAAACTCCCCACTTCTCTCTGGAAGTTTAACAAACTCCCTGAAAACTGCAGTTGTTAAGCCTCTCCCGAAAAAGAGCAATCTGGATAAGATCATATTAAGCAATAGACCGATCTCAAAACTTCCTTTCATAGGCAAGATCATTGAAAAAGTTGTCTTCAATCAGCTGAACAAATTCTTAAGCTCGAATGGATACTTTGACATTCAATCTGGTTTCCGACCGCATCACAGCACAGAGACAGCTCTCATAAAGATAATAAACGATATTTGCTTAAATACTGATACAGGCAAATTATCAATGCTGGTACTACTCGACCTCAGTGCTGCATTTGACACTGTCGATCACAACATACTTCTTGACAGGCTGGAAAACTGGGTGGGGCTTTCTGGGATAGTCCTAAAATGGTTCAGGTCATACTTAGAAGGGAGAGGTTGTTATGTGAGTATAGGAGACCATAAGTCTGACTGGACATCCATGACATGCGGAGTCCCGCAAGGCTCAATTCTTGCGCCACTCCTATTGAACCTGTATATGCTCCCAATGAGCCAAATAATGAAAAAGAACCAGATCGCTTATAGCTATGCAGACGACACACAGCTCTACTTAGCCCTATCGCCTAATGACTACAGCCCCATTGACTCCCTGTGCCAATGCATTGATGAAGTAAACAGTTGGATGTGCCAAAACTTTCTCAAGTTAAACAAAGACGAGTCATTGCGTTTGGAAACAAAGATGAAGTTCTCAAGGTGAACCCATACCTTCATTCTAGGGGTCAAACAACTAAAAATCAAGTCAGGAATCTCGGTTTCACTAGTCATGTCAAAGCAATAACTAAATCAGCATATACTATCATCTGAAAAATATTGCAATAATTAGATGCTTTGTTTCCAGACAAGACTTAGAGAAACTTGTTCATGCTTTCATCACTAGCAGGGTGGACTATTGTAATGACTCCAGTCAGGGCCGTCGCTAGTGGGGTGAAAGGTGGTGACAATTATAGGGGCCCCCGCTGCCCAGGGGGCCCCACAAAATCCAGCAGTTATACTATTTAGGCCCCTGTAGTATGAATAATTCTAATATTTATATTAGTTGTATGCCTGAGATTTAAATGAAAACCACAAAAACGTGCAATTTGGGTAAATATTTTTTCCAAATATCTGCTTCTCTTACCTCCATAAAAATGGTTTAGTCCGACCTAAAGTATTTATTAATTATTCAGTCAGAGTCAGTGACAAACATCAGATGGACCCAATAAAATTGTAAGTCCCACCCCAGCTCGTGAACCGAACCAATCAGAGTTGAGGCGGCAGCCTGAAGTTAACGATGAACTTGGTGGAAGAGCAGGAGACTGACTGACTGAAAAATATGAAGAAGACTGAAGAAAACATAAATCAGGGAACCAGAAATGCCAGGAAAAGACGGAGAGGGAGGCAAGGAGAGTGGTTGTATCCCAGTCGATCAAGACGTTCTTAAAGACCGGTTATATATTGTTATTTCGCTGGGAATTAGAAAACTTCCGTCTACAGTCTGCCGTGTACAGTCATTTTTTATTATCGGTGCGCGCCGCAATCGACCGAATGATTACGTGGTCTAAATTCCTGTCTTTTTACACTATTGTTACTAGAGTTTTAAAAAAAATACACGAGTCACGACGCATTGCATTATGCATCTGACCTGCCGGCTGATGATATTTAAAACATCGAGAAAACACGAATACTGCACTTGGATGAATAAATGTATTCGCTTTATTTAATAATATTACCAGTTCCATATCATCTTTATTAAAAAATAAGACAATGAATGGTTTTATTTTTTGAATTAGACTGCATTCTTGTCAATTTCTAAATGTTTACTTTTTGATTTATGAATTATAACAGACTGATGGGGAAAAAAATTATTACTTTTTAAAAATTGGTTTTATTATTATTTAACAATTTCTTGCTTTTTTGTTAGTTTTTATTAGTTGTAATTTTTATATAAACATTTAACTTTTAAAATAAAGGTTTTACAACAACATCACCATCTTCTGTTATGTGGGCCTCCATGTTCATCTATTGTACAGTATATGATATTGGTGGAGGGTGGTGGGGGCCCACATCAATATTTTTTCAGGGGGCCCCGAATCCTCTAGCTACGGCCCTGACTCCAGTGACTCCTCACTGGCCTTCCCAAAAAGACCATAAGACAGTTGCAGCTCATACAGAACGCTGCTGCCAGGATTCTGAGCAGAACCAGAAAATATGAACACATCACACCAGTCCTCAGGTATTTACACTGGCTCCCAGTTACGTTTAGGATTGATTTTAAAGTATTATTACTGGTATATAAATCATTCAATGGCCTGGGACCTCAACACATTGCAGATATGCTCACTGAATATAAACCCAACAGTTCACTCAGATCATTAGGATCACATCAGCTAGAAATACTAAGGGTTCACTCTAAGCATGGTGAGTCTGCTTTTAGCTACTATGCCAGCCACAGCTGGAACCAGCTTCCAGAGGAGATCAGATGTGCTCCTATACAGTATACAGTCGTCACATTCAAATCCAGACTTAAAACACATCTGTTTAGCTGTGCATTTAATGAATAAGCACTGTGCCACTGTTCGTCCGACTGTTTGTACTGTATTTTCATTTCTTTTTTTATTCTAAACTATTTTAATTATTCGTATTTATTTTATTTTATTTTTTATTCTATGTAAAGCACTTAGAATTACGTGTATGAAATGTGCTATATAAATAAACGTGCCTTGCCTATATTAAATTATAAAAATGTGTTTTTTGACCAGTTTTAAAATTTAATTACATTTTTCATACTGCTGTAATCAGGATAATCCTGATTTTTTGGATCAAAGTTATCCCAATCTTACTAAAAAGCACACAACACAACACAAACTGACAATTTGATCCAGATGAAACCCAAGATAGGATTTAGTGATCTAATCCGATTTCAGAAAACCATTTTTGTTATTTTAAACAATCCATTTTCAAGATTTGATCCAATCTAATATCTGAAAAACAATCATTACTTTTGAAACAACTGGGCCCAGTGTACTATGGTGGCTTCTTTTACACAGCACCCTCTAGTGGTGGTTAGGTAAAACCAAATATCTAACACAAATATAACAGTGACCTCTGTTATTCATTAAAAACATTAAACTCTAGATTTATGAGATCAATGAGTGAGCTGGGTCTTTACATCTAGTTTTTTTTTTATTATGTCCTTCAGGGCTGACATCAAGACCTATTTAACAGATACAGTAAGAGTGTCAAAAAGAGAAAAATGTGAATGCAGGTATAGCCTAAATTTAGGTCTAAATCTACATTTTTAGAGAGAGAACTTATAGGCCTACGATATGTTTGTGACGTAGGCCTACACTTGTGATGTTGCTCATTTGTAAGAAGCTTTTTTTCTGATTGTTTATGCTGGTGGATTGTATTTGAGTAATTTATAAATAGTTTAGTTTGTAGTTTTTTTTTAATGATTTCCCTTTATATATTATGTGGGCCTATATCCTTGAATTGTAAAGCAGAATAAAATGTTCAACCTTTTTCTTTGTCATTCAATTCCAGGCACGATTGATCCAGCTTTATAGATTTGGCCTATAAATAATTATCAGAGATCACTGAGTTAATCTTTTTGAAAAAAACTCTTTTTTTTTACCTTTTTTTTTTGCGCGCGCGCGAGCACGCCCCATTCTTTCCGTGGAGACTAGCACTGAGCAGTTTCACTTTCACTTCAGAACGAGGACGGCCGACTTTCTTTGCTATCTCACAGGCGAACGTACTATTGCCAATAATCAGCCACAGGTACGGGTTTGTATATTTCGAAGTTTAAAATAGCCTACATCACCAACCGCTGTACATTTATTGTTAAATTACATTGTATTTCCTGTTTCTAATGTCATGTTGGAACGCCAGTTATAAAATACGTTTTCTACGTTTGGTGCTACACTTAGAATGCAACAAAGGTATCCAACAACTTTCTGTTTCAGTTATCTTGGGAGTTGTATTTTGTGACTTACGTATAATCTGAGAAGCAACCAGCGCTTGATAGATTCAGTTGCCAGTAGTAACAAAATTCTGCAATGCAAACAAACTCGCTCTCTTTTAGCAAGCCGTACACTAAGTGAGTGAAGAGAACGAATGCCGTTATGGGGTGAATGTTTTACATTTTTCACGCAATTTACTCCTGTTTTATTATTGTTATTAATCATTATTATTATTAGGCTACCATTACTATTTTTTTTATTATTAATTTACTTCTAAATTACTTTACAAATGTATTAATTATTTTTTTTACCCTATATGATAATGAGGAGTTGTGGCTTTCAAGTTCAGGCATAGCATTCAAGCCCTTATTTAACATTTTAAGCAGAAGGTGTAGCTGATTCAGCCAAACATTTTATCTTGTGAGATATCAATGTAAGCTGCAGTAACAAGTTTGTTCCAAAAAACTATCTACATTTTACACATATTGGCACTAGAAAGATACATATTGCTGCTTTTTGTGTTGTAATAACTTTTGTAATAAAATTTGTAATGTTCTCCCGCAATTTATTTAATTTTTTTTTTTTTTTTAAATAGCCATGAATGAAATGGTTATTGAAGTGAATGGGCTCCCGGACAACTACCCTGAAAATATGATGATTGATAAATTAACCATGCACTTTCTGAGGCGCAGTAACAAAGGAGGAGATGTTTTAACAGTGGTTTATCCCACCTCCAACAAAGGCCAGGCTTATGTAGTCTTTGAATCAGCTGAAGGTATTGCTTTGATATTTTGTTCTCTAAGTTTATCTAAGTTTAACATCATATTCCATGGCTAACATTTCTTTCTTTTTTTTCATTCAATGTCTTAGTACCAGGAGTCTTGCAACACACTCATGTTTTGATTGTGGGGAGTCAGTTTTATCCACTGGACATTAAAAAGGTGCATCGTCCTCAGGTAAGACACTTCATTGATTGGTGAACCTCACTGAATCATACAGAATTATTAATATAACTTACACTTTTATTTAGTATACAGCATTTCCATTCTCCCAACATCTTGTTTCATTTGAATATTTATGCACAAACGAATTAAATAACAACACAATAGTGCGATGTAGCAAATATATCTCCTTAACATGCTTTTGTTCATATTTTCTCAGCTGGATATGCCAGCCGAAGCATTCCTCGATATGAACATGTTCTCCAGTCACAGCAAAATCCAAGAACTTCTTCATAGCCATGGCTTTCAGATGTCAAGGACCAGTCCAGGACAGCTGCATTTGCAGGGTTCCTTTCTCCAGCTAAAACTTATTTATCCCAAACTCGTGCAGTTTCTGGCTCTAGAAACCCTCCCTCAAAGAGGAACACCTTCACATTACACTAATGGCTCCTCCTCTGACTCTGTTTCCAGAGCTGAAAAAAGTGACTCCAGTGACTCCAGGCGCAGTCACAATTATGGCAACTCAGTGCATTCTGAGGGCAGAAGCACATCTTCAGGAATAACCTCAAGATCCCCAGAGTACCAATACAGGCAGAATGCCTCTCTAATGGATAGAAGCTCCAGCACAGAAAGTCCCTTTAGCAGTCCCTCCAGGATCTATGAGGATTCCCGCACAAGCGTTCAGCAGCGGAATCCTTCGTCTCCCAGGCAGACTGAGATTTCCATCCATGTGGAACTAGATGTGTTGAAATACACAATGCTCTTTAAGGAAGATTTGATAAGTAAAATTAAATCAGATCACCACACTCATATTAATCATAAAGAAGAATCAGGGGTTGGTATGGTTAAACTCTCGGGAGGAAACTTTAGGGAAGCAGCTAAAGAATTGTCTGCATTGATGGAGGAAATCACTAAATCTCTACGCACACAAGAAATAGACCTGAATGTATGTGACGAAAGTCAGAAGAGAGACATTATTCAGAATGCTTACACATTCCAAAAGATTTATGACGTTTTAATTAGACAGGAAGATAACGTTATAAAAGTAGTGGGATCATCAAAAGACAGTTATGACGCAAAGCAAAAGCTTCTTGGACTGGATGTTGACATTGCACCGCCTAAAGGCATGGAGAGGAACAAATTGCGACGCAGCAGCTCTTTGCCAAGACAAAAAACGAAGGCCAGAATGGAGAACCTAGACGTAGGTCAGATTGCTGCTGTGTGCTCTACTGCTGTCAGTAGCTCATCTGCCTCACATTCCCAAAAGGACTTTCAATTGCAGCGAGAAGTTCAACAGGAAAGAGGTCGCCAGCCCTCTAAATCCACTGCACAACGCAGGTCACAAAGCAGCTCTCGATTACAACACAAAAATCAAAACCAAGAACCTTCAACTTATGTTCAGCAGGATTTGACACCCTCTAGTGGAGCTCAGACATCTAAACAAGGGCCAACTCCTACATTTAAAGCTCCTCTAATGCCTGATAAAAGAAAAAACTTTTTCAAAATCAAAAGAAAATAAAACTACTGAATCCATTAAATCAGTAACTCTGCATATAAAGCCCTCATTGAAAAACACACTTTAAAAACACACTTTTTAGAATTAAATTGGTCAGACACTTTTAAGAAAGTGATGGGGCTGCTCTGTACTGATGGTTCTATTTCTAATCACATGTATTCACAAAAATATTCTGGGTTCACTACAAAATCGACAGCAATTGTGTCATAATGTTGATTACCATGAAAATGAATTTCAACTTCTTTTCTTAAAAAAAAAAAAATCTTACAATGGAAGTGAATGCTTACCAATGTTTTATGTGTATATAATAATAATTAATAATAGAATAAATGAGTTCAATGCATTTATGCATGTTTTTTTTCAGTGCATTAAAAAAAATATTAGCTTTACATACTATCTGCTTTTAAACCTTCCAAAAATGGGGCCCATTCACCTTCATTGTAAGAGCCCCACAGTAATATATATATATATATATATATATATATATATACACACACAATTAAGACAACTTTTTGATGTGATGAATCAGTTTTTTTTGTGTGGTAAACATCATTATGCCACAAATGCATTCACCTATCATTTCCCTCTGATTTTAGGGATAAGTTATGCGTAGGGTTAGGTTTAGGGATAGGGATAGATACAATTTTAGGACAGGAATGTTGTTCCAGGATGAACAAAATGTTGACCCATGAACGCGTCTAACTCTGCAAAATCAGGACGTGCGTATTGAACCCCTGAAATATTACTCTAAATTGTACTCTCTTAAAATCACATTGATTCCTTTGTAATTATTGTCTTACATGTGATAAGGAGAATGTCATGAGCATACATGTAACTTTCAGTATTTCCTGTCCTAAATTATATTACTGTGTATGTATATATTTATACATGTCTAATATATTTGCGGTATTTCCATTCTAAGTGTCATTACCATGGAGACTCAATGAGGAAGTGTCTTTTTCTGCATTGTACAGGAAGTGAGGCAGGCCTTGTGGTTGGCGGGGCTGAGCACCTCCCTGCCAGGAAGAACTTTTTTTTTTAACTCAGGCTATTGTGTCAAAAATGTAAGAAATACAGGTACACTAATGTGCAGAGTTCCTTTGTTTTTCCTTAAAGCACTGGTTTTGATTTGACTAGTTTTATATAGTATTAATTGAGAATATGTTTTTTCGAGTATTTCTCTCAGATGGAGTTTTCTGTCATACAAAAATTCCCCTTGTGTTTTTTCTTTACCTGTGGTCTGCTATTTAAGAAATTCCACAGCAGTCATTATGATTCATTAGTTGTCAATATTCATTTTAGGCCTTTAAATGATTATTTTAGGCATTACTGTAATGTGGACAAATATGGATAAATTATCTGTAAACTTTGTAATATTTATACATTAAGTATTGTGACTACTGACTCATCTCAGCTCCTTATCTGATTGCCACTGTTCTCAAACTTTTGTAATTGCATAAACATACCTTACAATAAACTGAATTGCTCAGCATCACATAAAATATGATCTTTTTAAAAGGTCTATAATTGTTTAATGTATAAAAGTGGGATTAACAGACATACATTTTGGCTTCAGAGCAATAAACAAAGTTTTGTCATGGGTCTTAACTTTCAGCTCTCAAATGTCCTACCTTTAAAATTAAATACATTTACTGTAGATTCTTCAGTGCTATGGTCACCAATTATACACTACCATATTAAATGAACAGAATTTTTTGTATTACATGGCTTTAATAGCATGAAATTTGTAATACTGTAAACATGTTCATTTGGATTGTTTCGCAGCTGATTGGTATCACAACCTCTCCCGGCACCCCTTTATTTCACCATAAATGGCATGCTGTGTATCCTTTCCTGTCTGTCTGTATCTTGTTTGGTCCTGGTGTTTATAGTTGTGAGTGGGTAGAACAGATGCAAGAATAGAACAGATCCTAGATTAGCATGTGTGAGCCGCATAAACTCAGACTATGTGAAAGATTTAGTTCTTGACAGTAGTCTATGATGCACACTCCCCCAGAGGAAGAGGGTGGGCTTTCGGAAATACCATTCATCCTCTTATAAGATAGAGATCTATAATGTCTTACAGCTTATTTGATTGAATACACAATATTAAACTAAACAACATTGTAACTTTTAAAAGGCCAAACAGTGTGTTTTGTTTTGTCTTTTTTGCACTCTGCAATGACTCTAAAACACATAGTGAAGGTAATTAAAAAGGAGTTAAGCTCAGTTAAGGTTTTACTGTGGCTACTGTCAGGGCCTCATGAAGATGTGAAAAAGACTTATGTTGCATGTTTAAAGATAATTCATTCCCCCACGTGAACATAAATAAACACATGTCTTGAACAGGATGACATGCTTACGCCTGCAGACCACAGTTGTCACTGACTTTACTTACCACAGCCTCAGATCATGCAAAGACCAAAACGTAGGCCACACCCACTGCACATTTGTCTCCTCTACCGGCTTCGAGAGGTCGACAGTCAATGCTCGGTTTCTGTGCCTTTCTCATCCCCTTCCACTTTCCTCTCCATCCATTTGTCCTTTCGATAGACTCCTGCAGGGATGGCGGAGCTGGAGGGCTTGGAGTTCGGAAAGTCAGACTTTGTGCTTTTAGACGAGGTCACTATGGAGCAGTTTATGGAGAATTTGAAGTTAAGGTAAGAGTGAACAGTTTTTACACTAAGTTGTGGTGTGTAAAGAGACTCAATGGACATTACAGCCTATATTACAAAGAACCTGATAAGACAACAGTAAACAAGGCCTTCAAAAATTGGTGTTGACATTGAGTGTTTTAAGCGTCAACTCATTTTGGGAGTCATTTTTGTTTGTAAAACTTGCCCATTACAGTAAGTATGTTTCAATGTGAGTGAGTAATTTAAGTCTTTTTGTACGGTTTTAGTGTCTTTGGTTTTGACCACTCCCTTCTTGGTAGTTTTAGAAGAAAAAAGTGGAGAGGAAAGATTGTGTCATATTACTTTTGACGTTCCCGCTCATAGCTGAGATATCAAGTCGCTAACATCAACAGCTTAAGATAAATAACAAGAAAAAAAATACATCTTATCATGTCTTACAACAGCTGATCATGACCAGCCATTTGAATCTTAGCAGTTCTGATGATGAAATCAAAAGTTTCTAGTTCTCCTTTCCTTTAACATGCAGCATTTGCTCCATCTGTAATCTGTGATGTCATTGGTTAAGCTGGGTAGAATCAGATGACCTTTTCACAAGACTCTTTATGAGTGTGATGTTGCACACTTGTTTTGTCTGTCACAGATTCGTATGCCTCTGAAACACTAGGAAAAAAAAACCTTGTCCATTCCTTGTCCTTTTGTGTGTTTCATCAGCTTTATGGCCATGGCTCATGTGACTACCACAAAAACTCACACAACAAAAAAATACTAACACGTTCATAATGTGCAGAGGAAAGGCATCCTACCAATTGAGTCATTAGATATTACACTACTTTGTCTGAACTATTTGATTTTTGTGTTGAAATGCTTGTTTTGTATATAGAATTTATAAGCTATAATGACCATTTTAACTACGGACAGATATCCATGTATTTTAGCTGTACGCCATGAAAGACAAGTGTTTTAGGTGATATGCTTACTTAACCAAGATTACACTGTATTATTTTTTTTTTAATTCAGAAAGTGAGTCATCTTGAGCCCCATTGTACTTCCTGTTCTCACTTCCCAGCCCTGTATCACTTCCTGCTGAATATGGGCGTGCATTACATTGAGAAACATACATCAAGTTATGACACTTGTTTCCCCTTGTATAAAATTTTAATTCATCACCAGGAGAATTGTATTATTGTATTTGATATCAAGGTGAAGAAGGTTATAAAATGAGATGTGGTTTATGATGTTTTAATATGTTAATCCTGACACAGAAACTGTCACAATTATCGATTAATTGTCTAATGGAGCTTATTCGATGTAATCACGGTTATGACACGGTTAAGAAATGCCATCAAATGTCATAATCTGGGAGGAAGTAAAGAATATTAAATTATATTATATTTATTATATTATATTATTAATTTTCACAGCATTAAAGTTTATCATATGGGCATATTTTATTTTTATATTATGTTATTCCAAGTTTTAAAAAAAATTAGACTTACACTGTAAGGGACATGAACAAAACAGACATTCATCAATGTATGTTTTTCTTAAACCTCTTGATATTATTTATGATTAATTGAATCCCACCTCACTGTACAGTAATACTCAATGCATTCATCGTTTGTTCTTTAAGTTGTCTGTTCGGACACCAGGAACTAAACCAAACCAGCAGATATGACGCTAACAATGAGTCTTGTTAAATCTATTTCTGACTGTTCTATTTGACACCTGCATATTTTTCACAGTATTGTTTGTTGTTTTCAGGTTTGAGAAGGGCCGTATCTACACTTTCATTGGAGAAGTAGTGGTGTCAGTCAATCCGTACAAACAGTTAGATATCTATGGGAAGGAGGTCATTGAGGACTACAGGGGCAGAGAGCTGTATGAGAACCCACCTCACCTGTTTGCTGTCGCAGATGCCGCTTATAAAGCCATGAAGAGACGAGCCAAAGACACATGTATCGTCATTTCAGGTACAGCAGCTACTAAACACACTCACTGCTGAATAAAACAACAGACACTGGTGTTATGAACATTCCTCAAAGACACAGGCCAGAGGTCATTCATCCTTTTCAAAACCCAAGCCCAACTAAATGCACAGTGAAAATATCTAATATTTAACCCTGTAAAATATAACATATAAAAAAATAACCCTGCTGAAAAATCATAAGGTATGTTTTGCATGCTGGGACCAGTATGGGATGCTGGTTGCTGGTCACCAACATGGGAAGCTAAAGTGCTGGTGGACCAGCTACACCAGTTCATTATGGTTCACCAGCTAGACCAAGACTATACCAGCTCTAACCAGCATAGCAGTCTTGTCAATGTCATTGTAATAATATACTGGCAATACTGTGTTTAAAATGAACA